TTCCTATATTTTAGTGACGTGCTTGGATGTCTAATAACAAAGATTTATTTTCTTTTAAAGTTACCCAAAATTGATGCAAAATATTTTGTACATTAGAAAAAAATAGCTATATGCTCTTCATTACATTAAAAACTGTACCAAAAATTAACTACTCATCAAGAAGGTGAAAATTATCATTCTTTATTAAGGATTTATCCCTATGTATGCAATTAATTGTTTTCAAATACATGTTATTTGTTCTTTTCTATAGTGATTAAATTTTGGTAATAAAATATAAATAATTCAATCAAGCCTGAGTTAATGTACAATATGTAATGTTGCCACATGAATTATTATTTCGTATTTATACATGTAAATTTACAGGTAACATTTTAAAGCATTATCATTTAGAAACTACTCTAATTCTGTTCTGGTTATGCTTTTGTGTCATGAAATATGAAAGAACTAACATTTCATTTTGATAAAGTAATCAGTAGTGGGATCCAATTTTTTATTGGTGGCCTACCAGAGCACCATCTGTGTTTTATGAGAGGTAGCAGGATAAAGCCCTAATAAGATTTTTCGGCAAATGGTACCAAACAGACATCACTCAAGGTCAAGTGAGGGTTAAAAAATATGTATTTCTAGAAAGCTCACTGGAATATAAATAAATGTAAATGAATTCTTTATCTATAATCAATTTTATATGTTTGGAAAAAGATGTATGTACAAGTACATCATTTAGAGGAAATGCCATTAAAAAATCTTGCTTGGATTGGGAGCTATCATGTGCACATTTGTTTTTCTCAAAAGGCAGATTTCCAAACACATGTGCATTTCATGATTTCTATCAGGGAATAGACATGATACAAGGTCTTTGGGATTGCATTCTACATAGTGCAGAAGAAGTTGGAATAAGTTGTTTTATTAAAAATTCAGGTATCCAGGGAGAGAAGATGTGTTGGCTGTTTTGCCAGTTCCTCCTAGTGCCTCATGATCTCAAAGTCTAGAAAGGACTGTTTAGATCAGAAATTGGCAAACTGTAGCCAGTGAGCATCAAATCTGGTCCACTGCCTGTGTTTGTAAATAAAGTTTTATTGGAGCACAGCAACACTTCTTTGCTTAAGAATTGTTTATGGTAGCTTCTGTGCTCCAACAGCAGAGCTGAGTAGTTACAACAGTGAAAATCTGGCCCTCAAAGCCTAAAATGTTTATCATCGGATTCTTTACAAAAAAGTTTGCTTATCTCTGGTTAAGTTCAACACTGTCTGATACAAATAAAATGTAAACCACATATATAATTTTAGAATGCCTAGTAGCCTTATTAAAAAAAAAAAACTCTTTAGAAACAGGTAAAATTTAATAACATATTTTATTTAACCCTATATATAAAAAGATCATTTTAACATGTGGTGCTAGCCACATTTCAAGTGTTCAATAGCCATATGTGATTAGTGGCTACCATATTAAACAGTGCAGTGCTAAACAATCAACCAGGGGGGCTGTTGGGCCCTATCTGGTAGAAAATTAGTCTTTTTTTTAAGAAAGGGCATTCCCAGGACACGACAATGGGTCTAAATTGTGACAGTTAAAATAATCCTATTTATTACTCATTTACAGACAAGAAATGCAAAAAAAAAAAAAAAGGAAAGAAAGAAAGAGTTTAAAAGTAAGCAACCAACCAACAGACAAAACAGGCCTTTTCTCCTTAAAATATGATGCAGCTACAAAGATTTCTGCCATGTAGAGATGATTTTAGTAAGGTTGTTTATTTCCTACTTTGAAGCTAAATTCCTCCCATTGCAATTTAAACAGCTTCTATCTTGTTTTATCCTCAGCAGAATCTGAGAAAAGCAGTTCCCCATCACTAATATGATACTGTATTCCTTTAAATCCTTTAAGACTCTGGCCCTCTCCTACTCCAGAGATTTTTCTTTGTCTAGCTGCACAAATTCAATAACTCCAGCATTTCAAATTGGACCCATTTTGAAAATGTTGTATTGTGTTTGTCATTCTCTATAGAATCTGTTCCCAAATCCATATGCACTCTTCCAATGCAAGAAGAAAACTTGAATATAGCATTCAAGTAAATTCCAAATATTTCGAAACACAAGTGGCTCACCACACAGATCTAACATGCTTTTCTTCTGTTTAAACAATTCACTCTACCATTTGAAAGTATTTCACTGCATGTCACTAAAATCCACACAAAAAAGTTCTGAGACACAAAGTAACTTTAGACATTTCTACATTTCACAGGGTTCCTGTACCTCATTTTCCTACCTCTAAAATGAGTGTGATTCAAACCCTCTTCTTTCAAACTATTTTTTTTTCTTATGAAAACCCATGAAGCATTTTATTATATTAACAATAAGGAGAATGGAGAATTTCCAAGCACTCTTGAAATTTCACGCGTATTAAATTTGTAAATAAAAGATTAAGATAAAACAATCTCAAGAGCTTAAATCAAAGAGAATGAAAGGAAGATATGCAGCACATAACTGGAGAAGATAGAACTTAGGGGAAGCGCAAATAAAAACAGCTCTAATTAGCAGTAAGCTCAAAAATAATAGAAGTATGGTGTCTAGAACAAAGGAGGTGATAGTCCTGTTTGATTAAACTCGCCAGCTCTGAAGAGAGCAAAGGTTAGAAAACGCAGTCATCTAAGGCAAAGGGCACTCGCAAGGAAATAAAGCTGGAATAAGCCTTAAAGTAGGAAAACAAGACTCTGGCATTTTATTGCTTCCTGGAGTCAAGAAAGAAACAAAATTACATAAAGAAAATGAAATCTATATATACTATTACCACTACCTAAAGGGTAGCTCTGAGGTCCTCCAAGAAACTGAAAGAAATAATAATCAGTTTACCTTCTGGGAATTAAACTAGTAAAATAGGCACTTGATGAATGAGATTTGCTACTGCAGACCCTGGGCATCTGACATGCACGAGTCAAGACATCTCCTTCTCGTCTGCTATTCTAGCATATAATTCCCCCTATAAGATGCATACTTTGTTATGCATAGAGAGCAGGAAAGCCACATTAAGACAGGAGTGTGGAGCAGTCATCTGGGCTCACCCACCGGGCTTTATTTACCTCAATCTTATAACATGTATGATTCAATTTCCCACATTTGGAGACTAAGACCTTATGACTGTCATTTTCGGTTGTGAATGTCCAAGTTTCATCAGACTGACATACTTTTCCTTATAAAACAGAACCTATTTCAAGAACGTGAAAAGCAGTTTTGGGAATCTAAAACCAATCTGACTAAACGAGAAAAGAAAAACAACAAACCAACAATGACAGGCTGTAGCCTAATGACTGGTTTTAACATCTGAAGGAGGAAAGTATGAACAAAAGTGGGTGGCCTAAATGCAGTCTTAAAAAATAAAGATGCAAAATTTAGGAATTTGTCAATGTAGATCAGCCTTATCCAAGAAATGCAGTACCTCGCATCAGACTCTCAGAGCTCAGGGAATGAGCAGCCCCTGCCCCTGACCCCCTCTGTGAAAACCCATCTCCCTCTTCCTCGCTGCTACCCTTAGCTTTGCTGCAATGACAATGTGCTGAGTGATGAACAAAATTTCAATGACATTTATCATCATAAACTAGAGCATTGTCATTCTAGTTTATACATGCATTTCTTGGGTGTTTGGTTAGTGTGGCTCAGTTCTCAAAAGGTTGATAAAGCCTGGCCCCACTGATGAAATCTAAATCAAGTCTTTAAACCCAAAAAGCTGAAGATCGCCCACGGTGCCCCCACCCTCAACCTGCAGCCTTTTTTTTTAAATTAATTTATTTTTTAAGTAGGCTCCATACCCAATGTGAAGCCTGAACTGATGACCCTGAGATCAAGAGTCACATGCTCTATTCACTGAGCCAGCCAGGTGCCCCACACCCCTCTTTTTCTCCCACCTTGCAGCTTTGAGGCACAGCTTGAGCAGCTCATGAAGCTTTCTTAGAGATGACATATCCTTTTGCCTCTAACCATATATATGCACATGAGATAAAACAAAGCCTTATTTAAAGTCCTTATTAATGGTATTTTAAGTCTTCATAATACCATTAAAATAATGGAAAATGTTAACAAATTAGTGAAATTTTCATTTAGAAATCCCACTTCTGGAAATATATCCCATTAAATAATACTGAATATGAAAAAAAGCTTTAAGGTTTATAGATATGTTATTCATAAAAGTGAAACATAAAAAACAATCCCTATATTAACCACAGGAAAATAATTTAATCAGTAATAGTATATGCAAAGTATAGAGCATGATACAGTCATTAAAAAGTCATAGATAATATTATGAAAATAGGTTTACATAGAATATACTCCATTAGATATATAATATAAATGGCATAGTTACAACAACATGATGAGGGGATAATTTAGAAATATAGATGACAAAAAGATGGAAGAGTCCCTTAAAGAAATCAGATTAAATTACCATATTATTTTACAACTGAAAGTTCTTCATCCAAATCTCTGTGAAGGTGGTTGACTTGGTTTATGGAACTAAATGCAAACTCCATCACTGTGTATTAATTAAGGCTTGGAATCCTAAAGAGCTGGTGATCCTATAGAGGCTGAATATATAAAAGAATTTCCATACAATAAACCAGTTTTTGTGATACCTTTTTGGTTTATCCATAATAAGCATTTTAAAGAAGAGGTCATATATACTCAACTGAAAACCAAAAATGGATCCAGACCACAGAATATAGCCCCTCCCCCAACTGAAAACCATCTAGAATTCAAAAGCTAATATAAGATTGACTCAATTACGATAGCCAGAACCTATCTTTTCAAAAAGAATGCTGTACCAAACCTAATAATCACTTTAAAAGTTATCCTGATTCACCCGAGATCACTTGGTAGGTATGTCTGGTAGATGTAGTCACCTCTCAGTTCTTGTTTCTGTGCTGACATTTAATAGCCACATATCCATGAAGGAACATCACTTCTTACTCAGGGTTGATCATGTTCTTTGGAAGCAGCAACTTGGTTTGAACTTACCTTACATGAAGACTCCACCTGCAGACCAGGGCAAGGTATTGGCCCAAACTGATAGGAGCTGGAGGATCTCTGTTCTACACTTTTGTGCTTATGTGTCTCTGAGGCAAATGGAAGTACAGAATCAGGCTTTAGAAGCTGTGAATCATCACAACAACTGAGAATAATTCTTGCTCTTTCTCCTGTTTCATGTCTTTCCAAAGTGCCTGGAAAACAAGATTAGAAATAAAAAAAATTACGCACAATATTTACTCCAAAAGAATGAAAAGAACAAGACACTTTTACCAGAAAAAAAATTTAAGTTAAAATTAAAATTTTTTAAGTGATCATGCCTTCTTACAGGCGAAAAAGCAGCCTGGGAGCTTTCTCTCAATTATTCAAATCATCATCTAACAAAGGCTGAAATTATGGGCTTGAAAACCTCATCTTCCTCTTTGTGCTTTTTTATCCACTGAAATCAACAGGGCATTCAATAGTTTTTAACAGTAAAATCTTTTACTTATTATACAGTATGCAAGTGATCAATAACAACCAACTATGGAATATTTTAGTGCTGTCCCCTAGTGTTTCAACTCACAAACAACAGAGAACCGCAGTGTTGTTTGCTAAAAAAAGAGAAGTTTCTGTTGGTAATATATGTACATAATTTAAGTGGGATAGGACAAGCAAGAACACAGTTGCTTTGTATTGCTACCTCCTTTTCCCAAGGGCCCTCACTGCTTCAGGAATGCAGACTACTCTAGAATTTTATTATTGTTGCTATTATATCCTTTGACTTTTCTTTATGTTATTAGAAGAAAAAAACAAACAAACCCACAAACAATCCTTTGCCCTCTTCTCTGCCATTCCTTCAGTTCCAGAATTTCAAGATGCTGGTAAGTTCAATTCAAATTTAAAAGGAACAAGTACAAAGTAGAGCAAAAGTATCAGAAAACAACTCACAAGGAGTTAATGCTTTTATAAAATACATGCCAAACTCTCACTGAAATCTTAATAAATATGAATTAATCATGACCGCTGTCTCTTACGAGTTCATTTACATTATTCATACTATATTAAATATAAAACTGTTATCCTACTAAGTAAAGATGCTAAGGAAAATTAACTTGACATACAAACAATACAGATTTCATCTCATATTACTCCTTCCCTATCAATGAGAAAGTAGTTGTACTAATTGTTAAGAAGGAGAAAAGTAATTCTTATTAGTAATGTTTTTTTTAAAGATTTTATTTATTTATTTGAGAGAGAGAGAGAGTGCACAAGCAAGGGGAAGGTCAGCAGGGGAGAGAGAGAGGGAGAGAAACCCAAGCAGACTCTGAGCTGATCACAGAACCTGATCTCAGGACCCTGAGATCACAACCTGAGCTGGAACCAAGAGTTAGATGCTCAACTGACTTAGCCACCCAGGTGCCCCTCTTCTTAATAGTATAAAGAAAATATAAATTTAAAGGAATTACAATAAGGAAATAAAAAGAATTCTATATTACTATCTTTAGATAAATAGATTCAAAGATTAGGACTATCCAGTCTTTTCTCATTTTCCTCTTCTCTTCCATATCATTTCTTTACAGCAACTAACCTCTTTTAGTTGGTACTTTGGATTCTAAATCAGCAACAGCTACTATGCTAAAATACTTGGTGGAAGTTTAGTCTCTAGTCTCTTAACAATGGCATATTTTTTCATTCTAACATTTCTGCATTCATAAATTAACACCTTTAGCATATAAACTCACAAACATGTTATTTTTCTAGGCTTTTTTTTTCCCCATCAAGATTGATATATCTTGAACAAATAAAGCTGGCAGCAGCAAGAAAACCCCTTTTCTCAAGGACAATAATAACAAAAGTTTCTCAAACCAAAGATAATATTTATTACTCCTTTCTGAAAATGACTGCATTCCAGAACTTGTAACTGTGACCCCCGAGCAAACCTCACTGACTTTCTGAGGTATCTCTCTTTGAATATGGTATCACCATGGATAGTTTCTCCTCATAGGGTTTCTATGGCTCTCAAACTGTGATTTTTTTTTTTTAAAGATTTTGAGAATTCTTGGGAAAGAATTTATTGTACTTTAATACATATAACATGTGCCTTATACTATACATTTTATACATACATATACATTATTCTATACCTAATGTCTTACACAGACATAACTATTTCTTGCATTTCTCAGTGATGAAAATACCCATGAACTTGGGCAGCCGTAATCTATTTTCATTCATGCATAGATAAATAATCAACTTAGCATCTACTGTGGGTCATTCATTCACTATGCCAGATGCTAGAAATTTATGCTAAACAAGAATGACTCAGTTCTTTCCCTCTTGAGCTTACTTAACATCTCATGGTTGTGTAGAGGCAAGAAAGATCTTAAAACTAAAATGTTATAATATATAAAGTAACACAAAGTTATTTTTACTCCAAACTAAAAATCTCCCATTCTAACAGAATGTTGGACACTTGGTTTTGTGAACAATAGCTTCCATCATGATTAGCTGTAAAGTATGTGAAAATAATTATTTTGTTCCAAAGAACTGGTGGAAGCACAAATGTGACATAAGGAATCATGAGGGTGAGTCAATTTCTTTTAAAGTTATCATAGACAAGTAAACAGCACGTTAAAAAAAATGAAGTGATTTTATTAAAAGTTCAAGACAACAGCTTTTTTTTTTTTTAAAGATTTTATTTATTTATTTGAGGGAGAGAATGAGAGAGAGCACATGAGAGGGGGGAGGGTCAGAGGGAGAAGCAGACTCCCTGCCGAGCAGGGAGCCCGATGCGGGACTCGATCCCGGGACTCCAGGATCATGACCTGAGCGGAAGGCAGTCGCTTAACCAACTGAGCCACCCAGGCACCCCAAAACAACAGCTTTTAAAAGCCCTTGGTCAAAACACTGAGAGTGGATAAATAGCAAATCCCAGGTATGCCAGTCACCAAATCACTGTTGATTAGTTCCAAATTCACCCTACATTGCCTGGTCTGTGAAAATGGTTATGTGCTCCTTAAATGTTATTCCTTCAACAGCTGGTACAATGTTAACTTGTGTGGATGAAAGGTGATAAAAAAAAAAAGAGGGGCACACCTGGGTGGCTCAGTGGGTTAAGCGTCTGCCTTCAGCTCAGGTCAAGATCCCAGCTCCGTGTAGGGCTCCTTCTCCCTCTGCCCCTCCCCCTGCTCGTGCAATCCTGCTCTCTCTCTCTCTCTCTTAAATAAATAAATAAAATCTTAAAAAAAAAAAGAAAAAAGGAAAGTCTAGCAGAAGAAAACGGTTCTGTATGCTGTGCTGCAGCAGTGTGGGGCAGCCTGAAGCACCCAGCATGCAGCAGCTGCCTTGGGCACACACTGTGTGAGGCTGTAGGACAGAGTACTTCTAGTGAGACATCTCTCTGGGAATGCTTTTCCCTAGCCAACTTAGGGAGCCTATTTCTGGCAAGCTCCACACCACACCACACCAGCTTCTCTACCATCCAGTGACCACAGCTATGACCTTTCCTGTAAAGTCAGTATCTCAGCCCTGGGGCTGGGGTGTCTCTTCCTTGAGCAGCCTATCTCAGCTCTAGGGGTAGTAGCTGCTCCTTAAATCTGCTATTCCTATATTCTCTAGAGTCTTCTTGAGTTCTTCCCAACCAGTTCCTCATATCAAATTCTTTGTGATGGTTAATGATTGTTTATATTAAATTTTCTCTGGTCAAATTACCGTGTCATTTCTCTCCCCTGATTAGACAGATTGCTATACCGTGATAAAACACTTCCGATGCAGAATGTTCTTTTAAATAGATCCTGAAATTATGGGATTCATATAACTTCAGGGATGTATTTAAATTGTTAGAAGAGTCTATGGCAAAAATGGTAAGCAAGGAGGAACGGCATGACCCTGAGGAGGTCCAACAAGCAGAGCCTTTGTAACTCTAATGACGGTCTTTGGCGGCAGACAGAATTATCACTGCTTCCTGATATTAAAGAAATATCAGAAACCGAAGGTTTACAAACTTGCTTAATTCAACATCCAATTTCAAGAGAATTATTGCTTTCCAAAATGAACTCAATGATAACTAGATCTTTTTTTTTTCTTTTGCTCTGTGCTACGTCAAGAATACAAGCTAACTCACACTTAACTCTTCATTTGAATCAATCTGAACACAATAAGGAAAGATACGTGTGAATTACATATGATTTTATGTGATAATATAATTTCCTCCCTGAAAGTAGGTATTATGTGAAAAATACAATAAATCTATTCCAAGTAAAATTGTATTGTATAAAAATGCTTTCTATGCAAATATGTAAATATCTTGCAGTTTTTCTATTGCTTTTCCATTAACATGAGTTTTAATACAATTTGTTCTAATCATAAACTAATAATAGTACCTCTGAGGATGGAATCAATCCTGAGAAAAGAGAGCTTGGAACAATTAGTGTCCTAACAGAGTGAAGGAAAGATGACACCGGTAAGCATTAGAAGCACTTTTCAGTGATCCCAAATTGCTTATTCCTCAAAAAGCCAGTGCACAGAAATATAAGGAGTAGCAAGATCCTCTGTGCAGAGCCCTAGGCCCATATTGACAATATTTCCACTGTCTACCCTGCTTTCACTGCCAATTCAACATTGCATACCTAATCACTTTTTTTTAACCAAAACTTTCCCTGTGTTCCCCCTTTGCAACCGTGTCTAGCTATCACCCTCTCTATCTGTCAGGGATGACAGCCTGCAGACATCACTGGATGGTGGCTCAGAGGAGACCTGAGGCCAGATTGCCCTGCACATGAATCCTGGTTTTACCTTGACAGTCGTGCGGCTCTGGGCAAGTCATTTTACATTTCTGTGCCTCCGTTTCCTCACCTGTGCAATGGGGTTAATAATTACTCTGACCTCACAGGGTTACTATGTGGATTTCACTGAGTAGATATTTTAAAAGGCTTAGAAGGTTCTGGCACACAGTGTGTGCTGTTCTATATGATAGCCCCCCTCTGACACATGACAAGTTCTCACTCAGCCCCTTGTGAGCAGTTTAACAAACCTCCTTGGCTCTGTGGCTCTGGGATCTGCCTGATACCTGGGCCTGGGGTCACTGCACATATGACCAGAGTGGGCCCCCCACCGTCTCCTACCTGAGACTCAAATCTTCTCAATCAGCCTTGCCTCTCAGGCTAGTTATAATCAGAATCAGTAGGATTATATTTTTGACTTATTTTTTAAT